GATTTATGAGCTAAACAAATAATTTTTGTGGCTTTTAAGCCACAAGTTTTGAGGTGGATTGTTCCTCAGTAGTACACAACTAGAACAATGGCCATGCTTGGTTATGAAGATGAGGTCTTCTGGACATAGTGTAGTGGGTCTGCATTAGCAAGGATTCATTAGGTGGCTAAATTGCCCTATGTAATAAATAGGAAATTAGAGGATCCTGAGCCAGCAAGCTATGGAACAGAGGAAGCAAAGGATGAAGAGAGGGAGAGGGCTCTAGCAATAGGGAGCGTGGCTGAAACACAAACGAACTCAACAACCAGTGAAAATTTTCTAGTGTCAGAGATGGCACAGGGCTATTTAAGGACAGGTATGTAAGTGGTTTAAATTTAAAGTTTGCTAATGTAGCTGGCTGCCATATGATGGAGCACCTGTAAACCTCTATCCCATGTACCCTAAACCTTCAGCAAAATCCTGCCACACATGAAGGCTTGAGTCAGGAATGCTTAGGGTTGGAAGGGTGTACTGCGATGAAGTCTGGCGGGGTAATGCAATGCAAAGTATAACAGCGCATGGTTGAGATAAGATGGAGAATGAAATATGAGAATTCACTGGAAACAAGAGCTGGAAGCCAGAGTTGACTTAGGAAAATATAAGGCCTGAGATTGCCCTCAATTTTCTTTCTTGCCTGATCACCCTTAACCCTGGACATATGTGAGGAATCCTGGAAGTCCCTCTTGGTGAAATGTGGGTTCAAGTCTTTTGGGGGCTTCAATCTTAAGGTCTGTAGTGACTTCAGTTAACTGTGGTTGACTTAAGGGACATGTTACACATTGATCCTCACTGTGCAGTAGGTCTCCAAAATGTGTGCCTCTTCTATTCAGGTTTTGAGGGGGAAAACTACAACTACTTTCCTGGGCCTCCAAGTGGGCCCTCAGGGACATTGTTGTTTAGGTTGCTCTTTGGTGCCAGCATCACACACCTTGGTAGGCACTCCTCGCAGGCAGTGAGATTCTTTGGGTTGGACAGGTGAAATACTATGGGTTCAGGGAAAGACCCATCCTAGACTCCTGACCTCCAGAACTACAAGATAATAAATGTGCTTCACCTTAAGCAGTTAAGTTTGCGGTTAATGCAACAATAGAAAACGAATACAACCTGGATGTGAAACATTAGAGTATTTTAGTTAAATGAAGGATTTAAGTTAGAAGAAAATGAAAATGTCCAAAGCTTATTTTTGAGTTAAAATAAAGACAAACAATGCATGTTTTCTTCGCAGTGACTTTTACTGGAAAAACAACACATTTTTTTTCAAGAGTCAAAATAAAAGAGCAATACACAAGATTGCACAATCACCTACAAATGCTGGCAATTAAGGTCAGTAAGCTAGCCTCACAGAGTCCTTGTCTAAGTAGTTTTCTCCATATGCAAATACACTATCATGTAATTCTCAGAGCTGTTGGGCTGGATTCAGTCCCACTGGCCAAGCTCAGTACATTCTATAACTGAGTCGTATCAGACCTAAGGTAGGAACTCTTCCACCAAGATTTCTATCTTGAAAGCAGTCCAAAATTTCACATTCTTTCCATTTACCACTGGCTTTTTTCATAGCCGAGGGTATCATTCAGCATTACCCAATGTCTTTCTTCATTCATCACACAATTTACTCTTCTCTTTTTGGGACATAACTTCCTCAGTCTTCACATTCTTTTCAACCACCACTGTCTTTACTGTACAATAATATGATTTAAATGTAAATATAGAAACTTACATCTTCAAAGGGGGAGGGGAAAAAAGGACCATCTACTAGAAAATAGATACAGGTACGATAGGTAATTCCAAAGAGCTCTGGAAATGACTTTTTGCCATTAACACTAGCTTGTAAAAAGCAATTATGAAACTTAAAAAAAGAAATCAAGTTAGATGTGTTGTGTGTGTTTTATTCTGCACCATTGTGAATTAAACAGGAATAAATCTAGTAATATGCTCTAGTTGCAACAAAAAACAAGAATATTAACAGCTTACTAATACTGCTGTGACCATTCAGTTCTCTTCTGAGACACGGGGCATACAAACAAGTCCATTTTTCAGAATCCTCCCCTGGGCCTTATAATCACACGTGCCACAGATAAACCCGCTTCCCCCACCCCCACCCCAGAGTCTACAATTCTGATTAGATTCAAGTTCAAGGTATAATTTAGCAAGGTATAATAAAGCATGCTACATGCTTTATTAATGATTTTATGCACCTGTGAGGCCTACTGAGAACCCAGAAGTTAGTTAAGAATGTAGAAACAGTCTCTTGAAAATATATATCATATCTATATGTATATATCCTTAGAAATTCTATAAAAGCCTAACATATTTTATGAATTTGATTTGTCTAAAACAAACCTATACATAATTTATAATTTCCCCCCTCAACAGTACTGATAAAGTACAGGGCACCTTTTTCTTTCAAGTATTTGGGTAAAATGGCATACCCTGAGAATTTGGGGTGCAAACCTACACCTTGTAAACTGTAGAATGAAACTCCTCAAGCACCACATAAGAAAAAGTATACCATGATAGTTTTTAAACACAGAGAATATCATTGAATATGTTTTCTCATGCACATATATATATATTTGAATATATATATGTATCACAAGATTATAGTCAATCTACTTAAGAATCAATACTGTCCTGCAGTCCAAAGTATTATTTCAGGTAGCATGAGTATTCAATTTGTAGTAAACACATTGAGTATGAAAATAATTTAGCACATTAAATCTCTTTAAGAGGCAAAGATAAAGTCAAATCTGAAATTAAAGAACATTTATGTAACTAGGCATTTCCTAGTGATCTAAGGATGAATTTGAGATGTATGTTAACAATTGAGACTTATCATGGAGATTTCAAGATGTAATTAGTTTTAACTTATTTAGTCAATGATATACAGAGAGCCATAAACACAGAGACATATACAGACATATGCATATCTGGGCTTTACTCAACTCTGAGGGCAAGTTCAGTGAGTGATTTTTAAGAAAAAACATTCTGGTGAATTTGATTTTCATAATGGTTACAAATGTGTTCAGTTTTCCAAAAACAATTTAAATAGAGCTCATTTCAACCTGACCATTTAACCAACAGGAAAAAAGAGGAAATGGGTCAAGATTTCTACACACAATGCACTGTGGTTCCTCTGGAAAACCGAGTCATACTTGTAACCTTAAGAGAAAATGATAAAAGCCAGACTCTGCAAATCTAATTAGATTTGAGCTCAAGGCACTATTTAGGAAATCCACATGCTTCACAAATAGTTTTGTGTATCAAAAGTAAGAGAGTAGTTCTGTGGCTAAAGGGATGGTGTTAGGGTGATAGTTTTATGGGTTGGAAGGTGCATAGGCTCTTCTTCTACTTAACTTGGGTTGAAAAAGGAAGGGCACCACCACTTCATTCAAACATCAATGCAACCTCAAGAAGTGATAAAACATTGCAACAAGGATTTAGATTTACCTCAAATCTTCTAAAATGTTCCTCACTATCATTTGAGGTAGTAAATGGCCTAGCAGCTTTGTGTGGTCTGAGGAAATAGAAAACCACAAAATTATCAATTGACAATGTCATATTCATAGAATATTATTTTAAAGTTACATTCTTAATCTCTTAGACATTTACTACAACTTTACAGCTCCTCAGAGGACTTGGCCTCTCTGATAGAACCAACAAATGCAAAGTTCTCCTTTCATTCCTAGTGTTGTCCTGGTTTACCTCAATGTGAGGATTTAAGGCTCAGATCTGCTGTTGATAAATCATGATAAGTAGCTTATGGGGCCCCAGACCCTTGGTAGATAAGAACTTGACCACATATTCTAGGAAAGAAGAGTCTTTCTGGAGAGCTGGCAAGCAGTTGACTAACTCAGCATGACCACTGGGTTTTCCTCAAAGTCACACATAGTTTAAAAAAAATCTTTAATCCAAAGTGACTTCATATCCAGCCAATCTCTATTGAAAATGAGGAAGGACTGACGCTGTAACTAGTTCCCCAGTGGTGAAAAAAATCAGTAAATTCTGGGGTGAATCTATTGATGACAAAGATGTAACACTTCCCCTAATATTGTACAAGGGCATCTTTCCCATACTCAGAGGCTGCTTCATGTTTCATGTTTCATGTCTCATAGAGCCTATAACTGCATTTCACAGCTCATCAGCCCAATGATTGACTGAATTGTGAGCAGAGCTGATTATTCCTCCCTCAAACCTTCCCTTTTATCCAACATATATATATTTTTTTTTGAAAAAATATCCCTTTAAGGAAGGCCTTGAAAGTGAAATTGAGTTATTTTTAAGAGTCTGAGATAGGAAGCCTAAGTACAAAATAATGAGATTACATGAATCATACAACAATCAGCCTCATCCTTTTTCACTCACACCTTCACTCAGGAATAGCATAAAATTCTATGGCTTCAAGAAGCATCTTTAAGCAGAAACCAAATACTGATGACTTTTAAAATCAAAATAAGGCTTTTAAAAAAATTACCAGAATGCTTTATCTTTGAACAAATCAGTAAAGAAGAGGAGATTCTTTAAATTAGAAAGCCTGGGAAAACCTTCAAGGCATTCTTTTAAACAGTAATAAATATTCCAATGTAACATTTGTCGAATATATATTGACACACTTATTAATTCTGATCAATCAACTCTTCAAGACTCACTGTGAACACTCACTAAAATAACGTTCAGAACTGGGTTACAACTGAGGCAGTATTGAATGTTGATGAAAGATTCTGTGATTTGGACTCTCGTTGTCTCTTACAACCACAAAGAGCAAGCGATGTAACCCTAGGTCACTGCTCTTGGTATGGCTGGAGAGACTCAGAGCCACTGAATAGGAGCTTCCATTCTGCTCTATCACCCCAAACCGGTCACTCTTCAGACTCCAAACAATCCGTGAGAGCCAGGAGTATGCAACTATGGAGGGAATCATTGAAGAAGAAAAAAAAAAAGGTAGGCACTCATAACAAAGTTTGGGTTACTAGAGAGAAAGAGATATTTTATGCCTTCCTGAGACTAAGAACTTAATTTTAAATATAATCAATGGCTTTCAGTATTTTAAGCCATTCTATTTTAAGGCAACATATAGGGTCATGACATTGTACATGGGAAAATTAAAACAAAGCACAAAAGTTAAAACCACTATTTTTCACAATCACATCTGAAATCATGCTAAACCCAATAAAAGAACGTGTAGTTTATAACCAAGAGAATGACTAGGCACGACTGGTATATGATTCAAAGTGAGGAGCCATCATATTTAAAATCCAAGCATGTGCTGCAATTCTGCCAGCTAGTCCTCATGTATTCCAAGAACCTACAAGGAAATTTGGAATCCAAGTTATTGATTTACTGGTTTGGTTTACAACAGAACAAATACCATTCTCTTGTATGGTTTGAAATGTGAAAATACGTAAGGGATTTTTTTTTTTTTTGTCTAGCCAAATGGAGGAAAAGGTAAATAGATAGCTTATGTCCTGTATTAAAGTATAAAAAGAAGTAATTTTATAGGGGAAAAATGCAACCATTCAATCAGCCTAGTAAAACTAAAATAACACAAACTGTCTTAACAGGGTTGTTCAGGAAAATATAGAAACTTACACACTCGGTTTATAAGAGCAAAACTAAGAATAACACATGTAGAGGAAGTTTTCAGGTGAATTCTTAGTGCTGTTACAATGCAACCTTCATATTAAAGAATAGTCCATCTTTCTGTCTTGTTCCTATAAACAAGCATAGATAAGAACAGATGGTTAGTTCTAGAGGTAAAATTCACTTTTAAAGAAACGAGAAAATGTCAAAATACATTTCATTTAACTATTTGTCTGATTTCAATATTAATAATGATGAAGTTCACATTTCAAAATGTGTTTGACAAATGTGTTTCTGAACTTTCTAGACATTATACTCCCTTCAAGAAAGTACCCAAAGGGGAACGTCTCTTTGAAAATTGAATTAAATCCAATGAACTAAACAAAAAAAATTTTAGAGTGAAATGTTTGGTTTCATTGAAATCATTCACAGCTGAGATAAAACAGTGTAATAGATATGTTCCCAGAATATCATACAGAAACTGAATTCATCACGAGTTAGTAATCTAGTTAAAAGAGTAAACTCTATACTGAGAATTTTTGTAAACAAATGATCACTACCTAAATTATGTGTAATTTCATCTAATACATTTTGTTTAAAATGAGATATACCAGTTAGAGCCTGTAACTTAGAATGGAGTTAAATCCATTCTAAAACAAGCAACTGACATGTTCAAAAGCTTACTGAAAATTATCCCTTTTTGTAGTGTATCTACCAGAACTTTGCCTAAAGAACTTTTTTAACATTTGAGAGTTGATATTTGAACATAATATTATGAAGACAGAAACAGAGTGGCCTACAGGTAATATTTAGAGGGATTAAGAAGGCTCTCGTGTGAAAGGTAACCTCCTAAAAGTATCAAATAACAGTTATCTAATCAATTAATGCAATCACACTAGCCATCAAGGGACATTTTAATCCTTCTATCTAGAAACTGACCTGTCAAATATATGCTTAAAAAAAGAAATCTGTATGAATAATTATGATTTCATATGTATAATATTTCATGTTTGAAAATTTTTATTCTTTTGTGTTTTATAATAGGGAATGGCCTTCAAGATGAAAGGGACCTTTGTGAATTTGGAGACTTTTCATTTGCTAAATTTAAGTTTTTCTACCTGACGACATATGAAGTAGCAACAGGAAAGGGAAATATAATTACAAAAGGAGAAGAAAATAGAAGACCCCAAAGAATCATTTCTATGGGAATCAAAGGGGACATGAGCACTCCAGAATATTGAGAAGTAGAAGGAAACTCTGCTTATACAATCTACTGAGATGTTTTCAGGGATCCATAGTCCAGACACTGTCTTTTCATTCATTCATAACTCAAGAGGAATTTTATTAGAAATCTGAAAAGTAATAAAGATCCAATTCTTATTAAGGATAAAACAATAAAATCACCAGTTTAACTGCTCAGAAGATTGTGAAGAAGTCAGCAAAGATGAGAGGTGTGACTATACTGTGTCGACAGGCAGTTTGGCCTGGGTGACTCCCGTGATTATAGGACTAGAACACATGACAAGAGTTCAGAAGGGATGCTGGGTCAGAGTTTCCCTTGCTCCACACATTTGTGCCCAGACAGAGAGGAAAATCACCACCATGCAGCTGGCAATCTAGGCCCAGGGTTATATAACATTCTGGAAAGCTTGGGGCATACTAGAGTACCTTGACCCACAGCCAACTGACCTGTCCCAAGAGATCAGCCAGCTCTGACTGCAGAGCTGTGGACATTGCCTCCAGTTTGCAGAAATATAAAACAAGGGTAAGGCCATATTTTTTGCTCCCATGAGTGCCCCTGAGAGATGAGGGGTCTCTAAGGCATTTGTGAGGTTACAATTTCCAAGGCAGATAGAACTCCTGCTATATACCGTGAGCTATCTGATATGTCCAGAGCAGTAAGAGTATTAGAATTAGGGCACAGGGCTCCAGGACTTCAAGGTGGATATACTTGGGCTTTAGTCAAACCACGCAGCTCCCCTCCAACTAAAATGCATGAACTCGTTGGCATCCATGGGTGATCCACTCTCAGGTGCCCCTCCCCACATACACACAGAATTATCCACCACTGAGATCCACAGCTCTTAGAAATGCTGACACTGGCTCAGATTCCTCCCTGGGGCATAAAAATAACTAAGGACAGCTAATTTTTTAATCAAAAGAATAATACACATGGAGGTTTGATATATGCTAGACATGAACAGATTCAGGGTCAATTTCTGACCTTTTTTTCTTTTTTTCTCAGATGACAAAAGAGGGACAATTCACAAGAAAGACCTGAGATCTGGAAGGCAGAAAGTTAGCGAAGGGCAAACAAGGGCCCACCTACAAGAACATGGCCATGAAGCATGAAAGGCCTGGGTTTCAACTGATCTGTTCATTTGAGACAAGCTATTTCTTCGTTTATCAAATAGAGATAAAAATAGTAAGTACTTGTTTTAATAATCAGACAGTGTGACGTTAAATCTTGGCATATAATAAATGATTAAAACACATTAGCTATTACTTTTAATTTTTATTAACTTTATAGAAGGTAGAGAAGAAAATAAAAAGGGCAATAAAAATGTGGAGAGAGGCACAAAATTAAAAGCAAGAGGGAAGCTATAATCCAAGAAGAGAAAGGGAGAAAAGAAAGGAGCAAAAAAGACACTAAGAAGCTAATAAAATAAAACAACAGACATAATAATAATTGGGAGGGGAAGTCACAACCAAACCAGAGAAAAATACAAATAAACAAATTGATTCAGGAAGGTAATTATGGAGTGAAGTGAAAATGGAGTGTTGAGCTTGCAGCCGCCTGGCCCCCTGCAAAAAGCTGCAAAGAATGTGCTGGTGAGGGAGCTGGCAGGGGGGCGCTGGCCCTTTAGGCTATTCAGTCTGGGTTTGAAAACAAATTACAAACAAAAATGTGAGAGGAGAAGAAGCAAGGTGAAGCATTAAACTAAATCAGCTTGAAGTGAATGGAAAGGAAAACCCACAATAAGGAATAAAATCACCCCCATCCCTGCAAAAAAAAAAAAAATGGCAAAGAACAAAAAGTAAGTTCTCAAACAAATAACAAAGGAAAAAAGGAGGGAAAGTGAACTAGTGGGGCAGATGCCAGGAAAGAGGACCACCAAAGAAGAGTGCCCTTAGGGAGAAAAAGAGGAGGGGACTGAAGAGCAATAGGAAAGAAGTAAACTAAAAAAAAGGCTCTGGTATGGGGGCATTTGGTGTTTGGGTCTCAACTCTGCCCCAAAGGGATACTGTGACTGAAGAAGGGTCACTTAACCTCTCTGAAGCCCAATTTCCTCCTGCAATTTTAACACAAGGGGACAGGGTTTGATGATCTAAGGACCTCTGTAGGGCCTCCTTAGAACTCTCTACAAAAATAGCTCCCCTAAATCCAGCCCCTTTCTCTTTCCACTTCAGCTGCTGACCTGAGGGGCTCCACCCAGAGGGTAGAAATAACTCTGAGGAAGTGAGGAAAAAAGAAAGGCCAACTTGTAGGAGCCACATAAGGCACAATCAGAAATGCAGAAGCAGTTTGACAACTATAGAGGGGCAGGGGGAGGTGGGGACTGGATGAAAGAAAGTGAAGGGATTTAGCCAAAGAACACATATGCATAACCCATGGACACAGACAACGGTGTCGAGATGGCCAGAGGGGGGTGCTAGGTGGAGGGAGGCAAAAGGGGGGGAGGGAATGAGACATCTGTAATAGTGTCAACAATAAAAAGAAAGAAAAAAAAGAAATGAAGAAATAAATAGATAAAATCTTACAGAAAAAAAAAAGACATTCAAATGTAACAAAATAAATGCAACACCCACTGCATAGCAGATATAGTGCCAATTAAAATTTTCTTTTGATATATTACATATTTATTTTATCTTTATGCCCTTGCAAATGATATTTAGTATCAAGTCTCAATAAAAATTTAAAAACAAAAATATGGCATCTAAGTGGGTGGCCAGGAGAAAGCATGAGAGTGAACATGTCAGAGAAGGAAAAATACAGCTACGTGCCTCTAATGATAGAAAATGAAAAACAAAAATAACCTCATTGGAAAAGGCATCAAAGACCCTGTGGAACTGGGACTTAAAAAAAAAAAAAAAAATCAACAAACAACAAGGGTCTAAAAGAGAAAAGGGAGAAAGTAGTGAAGTTTTGCAACCGCTGTGCCTTGCATGCTGGTATGTTACAAGTGGGTTCCCATTGCAACTATCTGGCCACTGGGCTACCGGATATACACAGCTTCATCTATTTCTCACAATCTGTGATGCTATTACTATTTTAAATAATAATAAAATAAATAGCATTACTAATTATCTTCTTAGAAGTGGGAAAGACCCACCTATAAAAGCAAAACTAAAGAGAAATTCATAACAGAATAACTAGAAAGAAATAACAGCAGCTGGTTATGCTCAAATATATACAGGCAGAGAAAGCAAAGCTCCCTGTTACAATGTGCAGCTAAAAACAGATGGTGAAATTCTTATTATTTGAGCTGGAAGGCATCTTAAAGGTTAAGACAGGACTTGAAGCTGGTTTTGCAGTTCTGTGTGTCTGGTGTGTGTCCTGCTGGAGTGCAGGTTCTTGGCTGATGGAACCACACTAGGTCACATGGGGGTTCAGAGTCACCGCATAGTACATTGGCTGGTAGAGTGTAAACATATAATTCATGTTTGTTAAATGAATGAGGGTTTTAGTACATTTCATTCAAACAATCATTTTGCAAATGTCCAGAGAGGCAGAGAGTAGGTCCCAGGTGTCCCTGCCAGTTCAGATCTCATTTCACTCTTTTGCCTCCGTTCCTTTGCTCCATGCCTCCAACCAAGGAGCACACTTGCAGAGCAGCTCCTGGAAGAGCTGAACATAAGTGTGGTCCAGGGGCTAAGAGCCCTCCACAGGTCCTGGCTCTCTTACTCTCTTGAGACTTGAGCAAAACAAATTTTTTTCTAGGCCCCAGTTTTCTTCTCTGTGAAATGTTGTGATTGGATCAAATCATTTAAGATACTTCATTGAAAAGGGTACACAAAACCAAATCCTATCTCAAGGAAAATCTCTGAGACAAGGCTGGTTTTCAAAGGAAATCTTGAACTGAAACCAGCTTCCAAGACTTCTCACAAGGACCATTTCTATGAGCACCAGGTGATAAATTGGGTGTGTACAATGTAATTTTTGATATAGCTGAACAATGTTTAAATTTGTTTTACCCTAAGGAAAAGAACTACACATTTATGTGTCTGACTTTTCTTTTCAGAGTGGTATAGAACTCTCAGGAAGGTGAGTTTTGAAGGATTTTTGTTAGTTATCTGAATATTAATAATTAGATTTTTGCCTGTACACAACAAAGCTAATTGTTAGTTCCTCACCAGTCTTCTTAAATGGTGAAGACAGCTTTTGATTTCTGTCTATCTTCAGGGCTGTGAACTAACATAAATATTGTGCTTTCAAAAAGAAATAAATTTTCAAAATAATCATGTTCAAATCTTGAATACTAAAAACTCTGATTTATATTTGTGTCTGACAGAAACAACTCCAAACCTAACTTCTCTGGACTCAGCAGACAGGAGAAAGGCCAAAGGCAGCTGCCAAGGGGACTACAGGAGCATGTGTGCCTGGTTCCACCCTCTGCCCCTGTCCTCCCTTCCCCTTGGTTCTGCACCTCCACAGCTCACACAAAGGCCTTGCAGGATTAGCTGCTCCAAAATAGCCTTAGGTAAACGCACCACCTGTCCAGAAGATTAAAACGCTTTTGTCTAGAGGCTACTCTTTTCCTTCGGCAAAACTAACTCTCTAATTCTGAGTCTCCTCCACATGCATACTGAATTTTTCCTCCATTTTCTACATCAGACAAAAGATGCATCCTTTATCTTTAATCTTCCCCTTCCCTCTTTATTTATGATCATCACAGAGTGCCTGTTGCAAACTCTTGAAGAGAAAGATTTTGAATCATCTGTTTCCAGATTGCAAGTAAAACGAGGCTTGCATTTTCACCTTAATTCTTTGAGAAAGACCCAAGGATTTTTGAACAGTGGCCTAATGTTGTCTTGTGGTCCAATATATGTAATAACCCTGTACTTTGAAAGGATTTTTTTTTAGTTTGCAATATGCTGTTGTATCATCTGACATTCAGATACGTTTATTTTATTTTTTCCATCACCATTTGTCCCCTCTATGCCCTCTTCCACCTCCACCCCCAACCCCGGCAATACATTTTGAGGAATAGATGTTTTTGACACATGAGAGCCATGAGTGTGTGAGAGTTTGCAGCCCAAGAACACACAGCTGGTGAGAAGAAGCTGTGACTCTAATCTAATGATCCTACTTCTTAATTTAGGGCTCTTTCATTTCACTGCCCAATGAAACAAAGTTCTTCTGTTCTTTTTCAGTTCAGAAAAGAGAGAAATGGCTTATTTCTTTTATATACACACAGAAAGGGTTTCTCTCCTCTCCATTCCGTTTTTGGTTTGGTATAATCTTACCAAGGAGTGAAAGTTGAAGAAACATTTATAATGTCAACCCTTCCTAATCCGAAGAGAACAGGAGAATGAGGGGCAATTCGTCCCCACAGTGCTACCATCTCTGTGCTCCTATCTGAAGTTTGCCACTGCCTTTCTCATGTGTGTGACCTGAAGTGTCCTGATTCAGCCTCACTTTCCCTATCAAGTTTCCTGGACTGTATTTACAGCAAAGATTCCAGTCTATGAATTTGGATTAACATAGGTGTTAGGAATCTATCTGATTTCCTTTAGAGGGGGGCAAGTGGAAGGTGCTTCTTTTCTGAAGGGAAAGAAAGCAGATATGAAAATGAGCACCTTGTAGGACTGGCAGCTGAGACTAGTGGATTCAGTCTTAGCTACTGGATCAAACACGGCAGCCCCTCCAAGGAGCCACAGTTTGGTAATCTCCCCTCTCATAGAGGTCAAGTGTGTGTGTGTGTGTGTGTGTGTGTGTAAGATAACTTAAAGACCTTGGATTCATCTAAGAAAAAGTATTCTGATTATCTGAAAACAGAAACACAAGCGCTTAAAAAATACAGCCTCTTTGTATAAGAAACTGCAAGAGAAAGATGTGAAGCAGGGAGAGTTTTCTGCAGATTTCAGAAAAACGCCTCGCAAGGAAACATCAGCCTTTGACTCTCCTTACTTCTGAGGAGCAAGCCCATTAACAGTGCTCCCAATGATCTCTCAGGATGTTCTGCCTTCTGCCACTGGGGTTGCCAGGAATAGAGGCTCACTCCATGACACCTGGACCAGGTTTTTGTTTCTCTCCTCTGTCAACCTTCTCCAAAGGCTAACTTGACAGGTCCAAGGTTCACTTCCCTGCTACTCAGAGATGAGAAACACAAACACACACAGACAATTTGAAAAGGTCAAAGGGGAAAGGCCACAGAGACTGGAGAGTGTGGAGAGGAGGAAGCTTGGAAGACAATTAGCTCCTTAATAATTTGGGTGGGGTTTTGCTCTCTTCTCCCACAATGCCCACTTCTAGACAGCTTCCTTTACTGTAAACCTGCCACTTCAAACACCAAGAAACAGGGTTGCTCTTAATCCCTTAAACCTGATTATCAAAGTCACACTCACTCACCAGCAGTGTCTCCATCTGCTTCCTGGTGACTGTTCATCATCTGTGCTCCACCACAAAGCTCATGGTGGTGCCATCGAAGGAGGGTGGTGCAATGATCCTGGGCCCCAGGGGCTGGGAAGTGATGCTGATGACAGGTTTGCCGTGCAGCTGGGCAAAGCCCTTGGCCCCCACGAGCTGGGATGTGGCTGCTGGGGTGGAGGAGGAAGCCGAGGTGGGAGACTGACCAGAGGCCATAAAGTATGGGGCCTCCGTGAACTTGGCAGCTGCCTCTTTGCTGGGGGTCTCCGCCACCATCTGGGAGAGCTCACTGCCCCCTGGAGTGTGAGCAACTGGCGGGGGCTGCAGGGCACTGGTAGGCAACACTGTGGGCAGAAACCCAGGGTAGATCATGTAGGTGGGTCCATAGGCCCCAGGACTCAGGGCCAAAGGAGGCACAGGGAGGGACATGGGAGCCACAGCTTGCTGCTGGGAGGTCATGGGCACATCCACATACTGCCCTGTCTCGGGGTCAAACAGTCTCCGGGTCATGGGCTGTACTGGTGTGTCCACCAGGTAGTACTGGCCAGTTGTCACATCCAGGAGCATCTTACGCTGGGTCTGCTGAGGCTGTGGCTGCTGGAAGGCATCTGTGGGGACTGGAGCTGAGCCTGCGGGTGTTGGGGCAGGCATGCCAGGTGGGGAGAAGCACAGGACCTGAGGCTGGGCCCCCTGCAGGGTGAAGGGTAGCGGCTGCTGGTGGTAGATGGCAGTGGGAGGATGCTCAGGGCTCTGGGGTCCGGCGGGGGCAGCAACTGCCTGCCGTGGGTTGTCAGGTTTGGTAGGCCAAGCCGGCCGGCTGGTACCGCTGACCTGGGAACCTTTGGGGCAACCAGGGACCTGACTGCGAGCGCTCAGCGGGGGCAAGCTGCAGAGAGTGGCCGCTGAGGAGGCTGCGGGACCCTCCCTCCCAGCCCCAGGCCTGCCTGGAAGCTCCCCAGCTGCAGAGCTTCCTTTAAGGGGGATGGTCAGGTAATTTTCACAGTCACTATTGCTCTTTTCCAGATTGCTGCCATTTTTCCTGTTGGTCACCTCATCAAGAGGTGCCCGGGTGGCTGGAGAGATCTTGAGGGAACGGAGTCCCTGAGACTTGCTGCCCTTTGCTGCTGAAGGGCTCTCTGGAGAAAGCCCTTGTGGGAACTTGCCAGCCACACCCCCAGTCTTCTGGGTGCTGCTGGCACTGACTGTGAACACCCTGCGGCTGCTGGGCAGCGGGGGGAGGGGCTGCAGGGGCTGGGTTCTCTCCGCATCTTTGTGGACGGGGGGAATGTAGAGGGACCGGGGCCTCTCCCTGGCCAGGCTCTCAAAGGCGGCTGCGCGGGCAGACACGCTCTCGGAGGTGGGGTTGGAGTTTCTCCGCTGCAGGCGCTCCAGGGGCGCCCCTCGCAGGACCACTCCATCTCTGATTCCCGTGGCGCGCTCTCCCGCCTCACCCAGCCGTTTGGCCAGCTTCTCGGGGTCCCCCTCGGGCCCCCCGGCCCCTCCTCTCTCCTCGCTAGCAATGAGCGACAGGACGTGGCTGTCGGTCATCACGGGCAGGGGGTCGCTTTTGCGCTTCCACTCGTTCCTGTTGAAGCTGTACAGCTCCTCCATGGACCTCACGGCGGCCGTCAGCTTCTCCAGCGCGTTGCGCGACGGCCCCGCGCCTTTCCCCTCCTCCCTGACCTCGTCGTCCTTGGCCTTCTCCGGGGTCTTCTGAGCAGAAGCCTTGGAGATGATCTTGAGCACAGGCAGGTACGAGCCCTGCTCGGGCTTATTGGGGGCGATGGTGGCCACGGGCAGCCTGCCAGATGCCCTGTGAACCAAGACCGTCCCTTCCGGCGAGGAGGGGTTCAAGCCGCTGCCGCCGCCGCCCCTGCCCACGCTCTCCCTCAGCTCTCCGTCCGCGCCGTCCTCCCTCTGGCTGACCAGGGCCTGGCACGTGATCACCATGGGGGACAGGGGTCTGGAGCCCCCCGCCGCAGCCGCCAGCTGCCTGGGTTTGGGGCCGCTCAGCCCCTGCTCCGGGGTCACACTGCCCTTGTCGCCGCTCTCTGCCGACCCTTTGATCAGCTTCCTGACGTCTCGCACCTGGTGGAGGGGGCCCTGAGCCTTGGACTTGTCTCTGACGTCCCGCACCTGGAACTGGGGCACCTTCTCCAGGCCGTCGCCGCGGAAGAGCTTCTGCTGCGCCCTGGCGCCGTCCTCCGCGGCCCTGAGGAGGCCGGAGGCGCTGCCGGCCGCCAGCTTGGGCGTGAGCAGCTTGGCGATGCTGAAGTCCGAGCTCGGCTGCTGCACGCTCCCCAGCCGGATCTTGATCTCCGGGGCCTTGGGCCGGATCACCGCCGTGGAGGTGGCCTGCGCCGCCGGGTACTTGGTGGCCTTCTTCCCCGGCTGCTTCTCCTTCGGGGTTTGCTGGATGTTGGGGACAAAGAGACGAGACATGATGGTGGACTTGCTGGCCGACACCTCCCCGAGATCAGCCCTCCAGTCACCGCCTTTGGGGAGTTTCAGCTTCCCAATGGGGGCTTTTTCTTCCCGCTTCTCGGCCTCTTTCTCCTTCCAGGACCGGAACGCGCTGTTCTGACTACGGAGGAAGATGCCTTTGACGGTCTCCGAGGCGCTCTTTTTAATCTCACACACTTCCTCTGCGTGTCCGTCGGGGCCCTGGCGGCCGGAGCCCGCATGGCTCTCCCGGGGAGCGCTGGCTTTGAAAATTGGGGACCTGGACCCCACCACGGACCCTTCCCCGCCCGCATCCGACGCGCTGAGCACCGTGTACTCCGAGCTGGCCTCCGAGTGGCGGGAGCTCTGCCTCTGCAGGCCCCTCTCCCGCTGCCTGTCGCCCCCCGAGGGGCCCTCGGGCTCCCTGCACGCGCTGGGGGGGTTGGGGTGCGATGTGTCAGTGACCTCGCCCCTCTCCATTTTGAACTCATGCTCCCGCTGCATCTTCTTGGAGATGACATTTTTGAGCAGACTGGACGCAAACTTGGACTTCTTCTGGGGGGCAGGCTTGCTGCTCTCGGGGGCCTCGGAGCCGTCGTCGGTGTACACAGACCCCGGGCCCTTGCTGGAGCCTTTGGCGGCCCTGCAGGGCCCGGGGGTCGGGCTGGCTTTGCTCTCACTGCGTAAATTCAGAGGCTCGAGGAGGGTGACCACGCGGGAGCCTGTCTGAACCTGCTTCTGGAAACACAGGGGCGTCTCCACATGTTTGATCTCGCCCTCGACTTTGCTGACCACGAACTCCAAGGCCTTGGTCTGGGACCTCCTGGAGTGGATGCGGAGCTGGTCCGCGGCTGTCCTGGCCGCGCCGCCCTTCCTCAGGCCCGCCGCCACCGAGGCCGCGCTGCTGCGCAGCAGGCTCTGCTCCACCCTGGCTCCAACACCCCCGCATTTCAGGTCTAGGAATGTGGACCAGCGCCCGAAGCCGACTTCCGAGAGCGTGGAGGACTCCCGGGAGCTGATGTTCAGGGCCTCAAAGTAGGGGTACGCGAGGCTCCGGAAGGCGCGCGAGGTCAGGTTACCCACCTCTTTGTCCGCATCGTCCAGCTCGCTGACGGCGCTGGAGGCCCCGCTGGAGTGGTCCACCAGCTCCTTGGCGCGCACGGCCCCGCACCGCGTCTGCAGGCGAGCAGGCACAGCGATGAACTTCTTCGCAGGGTCCTGAGCCACGGCTGCAGCCGGGTCGCGCTCGAGCGAACCTGAGCTGTGTTCAGCAGCTGCGGAGACGCGGAGGCTCATGTCGCCTTCATGCTTGGCAGCGGAGAGAATGTTTTGCTTTGCACGCACGTTGCTAGGCTCCTTTATAGCTCGGGAGGCCGGGTTGATTGATAGGAGGATCTGGCTCGCTGCGCTCCCACAGCTGCTGGCGGCCGCGGCCCCCGAGGCTGCGTCCGGGGGCTCGGGCAAGGGCTCAGGCCCG